TGCATCCCCCAGAGCTTGCATCCCCCAGAGCTGCATCCCCCAGAGCTCTGTGTCCCAAAGCAGCTCTGTGAGCCCGGCCCCTCCAGCCCTTCCTCCGGGAGCACCCGCGGCTCTGGGCAGCCCTGGCAGCTCTGCAGGACCCCCAGGGCAGGACCCCCAGCTCAGGGGGACCCCCAGTTCAGGAGGACCCCCACCTCTGCAAGCCCCCCCAGGGTGGGACCCCCAGCTCAGGGGGACCCCCAGCTCTGCAGGGCTCTCCAGGGCAGGACCCCCAGTTCAGGGGGACCCCAGCCCCACACACCAGAATCCCAGTTCCACCCACAGCCCCATGGAGTTCGTGTCCCAAAAGGGAGTAAATGTCCAAACTGGACAATTCCAATTCCCAAATTCCCAAACTCTTCCCCCGTGGCCGGGGCAGGGCTCAGTTGGGTTTTGCCCTTTAGGTTTTGTTCCCTGGTTTTCCTTCTCTGGCTAAAGCAGTTCTTTGTTGCTGATCTCACTCTTAGAGAACCTGAATCAACAGCTCTCGAGTTTTCCTTTGTATTCCTGTTTTGATGCTCTTGTGTTCTTCAAATGAACCAGGAATGCCCCAAATATTTATTTCCTTTCTCCCTTTCTCTTAAAAAGACCTTTTTTGGAAATCTGTGCTTGTATTTATATGATTTGACCCAAAATACAGATGTGGAAGAGCACCTGGAAAAGGATTAGAGGCCAGAAATTAAAAATTCATTCATTTCTCCTGCTGTATAAATTATGATATTTGAAAAATAATTTTCCCCAACTAGAAAGTAAAAGAAAGAGAAATGTGATTTTTTTCCCCCTGTAGATTCCACGTGGCTGCCCTGGCTCTGCTCAGGGGAAAGAGCCATTCTGATTTTACATCACCAAAGAATCTGCTTCAATAGATTTTCATCTTCCTGAGCACTTTGCCCAGGTATTTCTGAGCCATGAGTCATTGCAGGCTAATGGCTGCATTTTAAAAACGACTCCCAGCTCCGCCAGCACCATAAAGCTCATTTCCATTCCGTACCGCCCTGCACTCCCACAGAAATTTTATTGGGATTTTTGTAATAGATTAAAAGATACCAACACAATTCTCCTAAAATCCGGGGAACTGGATTGGATGGAAATGGCTTTTGCCATTGTTTTTATCCCTGGCTACAGCTGTTCTCCCCCTCTCTGGCCTGGGCACTGCTGGCTTTCACAGAACCTTATTCTGCATCAATCACCAAAAAGGGATCTTGCAGGGTCCAGGATATTCACATCACACCCCAAGTCCATTCTTCTTTTCCACCTGCAAGGCAGTGCTGTGTGAGTTTTAAATAATTCAATAACTGATCAATTCCAGGGAATATTTTCCACAAGAGGAAGACACAGCTCAGGTCTGTGGCGAGTTAAACAAGGGAGGGGCCGGGCTGGGCTCCTGGTCAGCACCTGAACCTTCTTTTTCAGGCTGTTTCTGCCTGTAAAACACAGACTGCAGCAAAGAGCTGCCTTGGTTCTTGGCTGGTAATTAAAAACAGGAAATGAGATTTGAAATCCTTGACAACCACGGATGATGTCCAGCTCTGCCTCTCTGGCCTTTCCTGGGCTGATTCCCCCAGGGAGTTCTCACGGCAGGAGAGGGTGAGCATCCCTCACCCAGAGCCTGCTGGGGAATGTTTGCCAGGGGTTGTTCATTCCCAGGATGAGAAATTCCTGCCTGGACACTGCTCCTGCTCCAGCAGAGACTCCTGTGTCAGCACATGAAACACAAACTGTCCTTCCTTGGACAAATCACGGTGGTCTGCTTAAAATTATTTACAGATTCCTGAGCAAATGCAGTAACTGAGTCCACAGAGTTCCTGCAGCCACCAGTGCTGCTGATCGTGACCCATCCCCAGGAACGCACAGCCTTGCCTTTCCTCATTGCCAAAACCAGCAGAAACGGTAGCAAAAACCTCGTTTTCAACACAGCCAGAACGAAATTAATCACTCTGGGACCAAAGGTCCCTTGGAGCATCGTTGGGTGGTGGCAGTGGCTGCAGGGCAGGAGGCAGAGCTGCTGCTCTGCTCCTGCCTCGTGTGAAGGAGACCCTGCCCCAGCCCCTGCCCGTGTCCCAGCCCCTTCCCCTTCCCCTTCCCCAGCCCCTTCCCCT